ACCAGGGCAAGAAAGGAACTGCTTTCTGCCAAAGCAGCCCCTGGGGAATCCCGGTGCTGCCAGCCGGGGCTGGACAGTGGGAAATGAGGACCCAAAAGCTGCTGTGGGATGTCCTGCATGGAGGAGGCTCTCCGGGGAGGCTGGAGCACCTCAAGGAGCCCCTCTGGAGCCCCTCTGCTCCTGTGGGCTGACACCTGCATGAATCACGGCGCTGTTATCAGTTTGACTATCGCTGGACTTTCCAAGGTTTTTGAAGCGAAAAATCTTGGCATGAGGCAGGCTGCAGGTATTTACCAGGTGCCTGAATCCCTGCTGTTTGCCAGCAGCTCAGCCCAGCCCCTTCGAGGAGGGGTGACGCCAGAAGTAACCAAACCCAGATCCTGCTTTCAGCAGAGGGTTGGGAAATCTCCCAAGGAAGGGTGGTTTGGGAGTGAGGTCTGCAGGCTGGGCCACAGGAAAACTGGGCTGTATTCCTCATCTGCTGGAGAATACGCCCGTATCCTTGGACAAATCACTTAATCTCTCTATGCCTTAGTTTCCTGTTAGCAAATCATACTCCTTATCTTTCACCTCTCATCTCAGTAGAGGAAAGAGTTTGTCTTTCAGTATGCATCTTATTGCCGTTCTTTGTCCGGTGGCTGGGGCCCCTCTACCTTCATAAAATAAATAATTGAATTTAGATTAAATGGTCTAATATAATCCTGCCCAGTGGTTACTAAAACATTTGAATGAAAGTTCATTCTGAGCCTGTCTTTCCATTTCCTCATAAGGCCAAGACATGAAGTAATTAGATGTAGACATAGGTTATTATTGTAGCGCAATGACAAAGATCAGTGGTTATTGGTAGGAATGGCTTTTATAATCTAGTTTAATGGTCATTTACCTTTCAGTGACCTTGGTGTCAGGCAAAATTGGCAGCTCTTCTGCAAGGAATGTGCTTCCTCAATGGGGCTTCGCAAGCTGCTGCATTTTTGGCTCTAGCTTCACATGAACTAGGATAGACACCACTGCAATGCAAGAGACTTTCTGTCTGCAAAGAATGGCCATAGACTCCTGCCAAAAGAAGCCCTTTTCAGTGCTGTCCTATCGCTGCTGAATTGCTGTTGAAACAGATCAGTTGTGTTTTGAGCAATGCTTTCCTTATTGCTGCGACCAAAGCTTCAGAGACTACTCTGGTTAGGATGAGGATTCTGTAAAGGAGATTCTGTAAGAAGGGTTGCATTGCCTTAAAGTAAAAGAGGGAGAATATCTCTCATCCTCCACTGAAGTACATGGAAGAGGACCTGGTAGTTCTGCTTGTAACCCCCTGTGAGACCTTACTATATCAGTAAAGATGTGATGTTTCTATAAACTTCAAAGTTCAGTCCTTTCAGCAATGATCATCCACCCACTGCAGATGCAAGTCAGCCAAGTTGTCTATTGGCGATGATGAACCTACACCACTCTCCATCCCATGTTGCAAAATCCTTATGGTTTTATCCAGTGACTGATACCTGTGGCCATGGAGAAGAGCAGCATGATCTGAGCTGTGCTGCACGAAGGGTAACCTGTATGCGTGGCCACACTTTGTAAGGAGATGGAGTAGGTCATATCCTGGGGCTTGGGAGGGCTGGATTCAGTAGAGGTGTTCATAGTAACCTTTGCTAACTCTCTTAATTCTTCTGAGCTAACCTGAACCTTAGAGGTAATCTCCTGTTTGCCATGAAGGAGGCTGAATTTTTGTAAGTGCTGTGGAAATATTTGTCTGAGATGGTGCCAGAAAGATTACTTGAGTCCCATCATAATTGTGGGTTTACAAAGAAGTGCTACAAGAGTTGAGAAGAGTAATGTAGCTGTGGAAAGAGGTGTCTCAAAAACATCTCTGAGACTTGCACTGCACAGTGACTTGGGTTGATCTCTCATCCTGCTGCTTGCAGCCATTTGGTTTTGCAGAAGAGTTCCTTGCACCTGTAACTATTGCCCTGCAGAGCAAGCCTAGCTCCGGGAATCATCTCTTTACCTGCTCTCATTTCCAAACTGCTACCATAAGGAGAGCAAAACAATGCAGCTTGGAGGGGAGCCATTTGTTTTGGGCTGCTTTGGATAACCACCAACTATCCTTTTGTCATGAGCATGTTCAATGCAACTCTGTCAAATCCGTTGAATCACCACAGCATGGTAGGTCCTCAGCTGAGATCAAGCGGTGGGTTCCAGCATTCAAAATCCTGAGATGGTGTGACATGCATGGGCTCTCAACTGGTTTTAGTCCTGTTCACCTGCTGGGACCTGCTGTGATTCTTGCTTCCATAGAGGATCTTAGAGACCCCCATCCTAGTTATTCTTCTTACTTCTCACATTCATTACTCCAATAAATATTTGCTTGTTCTCCTTCTGGTATGAGAGAATGAATGGTCACATTCATTTCAATAGCAGTTTATTTTTGCAGGTATCACATTTGGATTGGGAATGTCCAGCTGAGATCAAAGAGATACTTGCATAGGAGCAGATGGTTTATATGCTGCTTCTTGCTGAAGAAGAGCAAAATGAATCTCTCTTGAGTCCCTGAAGCCTGAACCCATTGAAGTCTGACAGAGTCTTTCCACTGACCCCTGTGGCCCCAGGATCATGTCCTAAATGAGCTGCTTTGAGTCACTAGAAGCCTGAATTCAGCTTTGGTGGGCTGGAAAATGTAACCTACTGTATGGGCTGTGCTATTCATAAGAGCTGAGCCCTGTATATGTGTGTGTGTGTTAGCTGTGGATGCCTGGGAGAAGAATAAAGTCATTTTCTGCAGTTGTGGGGGTGGAGGAAGGAATGGGATTTACACCCCCTTCCCTGCAAGCATGGTATCGTGACTTCTACGCAGACAGATGTTGGGATCTGACCCACTTCTGAAGCTTCAAATTAAGATTTGGTGGTTTTTTGTGCTGTGTTTCCTCTGATATCATCCCTGACACAGAAGTGTCCTGTCTACCTCGATGAACTAATCAGAACACACGTTGAGGCCTGACTCAGTGGGAAATCACCTCCATTTCAATTTTCTCAAATGGGCCACCAAATCAGATGAGCGAGTATAGCAAGGCTGTGATTTACCCTGTGGAGTTTGCTTAAACTTAAGCAGGGGCCCTGAAGATTGAGAGAAGCTGGTTGTGAGTGTTTGACACCAAATGCTCACAGTTCATTGTTTAATGCTGTTAGTGGCATCTAATCTTGTTGTCACCAACTACCACCTGTTTTCTTACAATTTATGAAAAAAAGCTTGTTGTTTCTTGAACTGATTCTTGCTTTCTCTGGCTTGCAGTGGCTTACAGCTGGGCAAAACAGCAGCTAGCAAAAACATTCAAGTTAATGCAGCAAGTTGCAGGTGTTTTCCACTCCCCACTGGTCTTAAATCAGCCCAGAAGAGAATTAATTTAGTGTAGGGGGTATAAAAAGAAGTGTAAAAAACTACCAGTTGGTAGGTTCCTCTGGAGCCATTATTGATTGATCTGGAGTCATTAGACTGCTTTACAGTCAAGCTAGTGAAGATTAATACAGTTTGAGAGCAGTAGCATGTTTTTCAATTAATGGCTAGCGACATAAACCTTTACAGTGTAATTTATGCTTTATTTATCTATATTCTAACACATATTTGCCTGAGGAATGGTTGCCTGGTGGCTAAAGATGGGGGAGGTGATGGCTCTCTCCTGGTCTTACACAGATGTTCTTTGTGACCTTGGAGGTGATAGCACTTAAACTAGATATGCTTCAGTTTTGCCTTATGAAACGAAAATATTTACACTTTTCCAGTTCATTGGTGTGAACTGTGACTTACAGGGGTAACACGAGGAACACATGACGTGGAAATGCTGTGAGTGAAGGGAATGGAGCATTGCCCCAGTTAAACCATCCCTATGCCACGTTCCTTGGTGGTGTGCTGAGGAGTCACAGCCTGGTTTGCAGCCTGGTGGTGGCAAACCCAAGCTTTGCTGCCCATCTCCCTCGTGGTTCCTTTGCATCAGGGATGGATGGCGTGGGGTGGTGGGGGAGCCTCCAAAGGGGAGGAGCTGGCCCTGGCTGTGTTTTCCATGCTTTTCCCACACACCGTCGTTCTTGCGTCGTGTTTCCTCTCTCCACATAATACTCTGTTATTTCCTCCCTGGAATGGGCTCCTGCCACTGCTGCTAATTAGGCCACGATAAACTTCAGCATGAACAAAAGCGAGCAATTAAATGCCTGTTGCTTCAGCGTGAGCCCTGTCAGAGGAGTGATTTGTTGGTGGCAGAGCCGAGTAGCACCTCCTCAGAAGGAAAACAAACCTTTTAGCCTGGCTGAGCCTCAGTGCTGGGGAGCAGTGTGTCTGAGTTGATTGTTGCAGGGATGTCTTTGGTACGAGTGGTTTTCCTGAGGGTCTCTGAGATGCTGCTCAGTCTTGGGTCTTCAGTTCCACAGGGTAGAACGATCTCTGTTGTCACTACCCAAGCAAGACAGCTTGAGAATTTACTGAACTCTGAATTCTGTATGTGCTTTTTTTTTTAGTCTTTTTTTGGGGGACACACGTAAACGTTTTCAAATCATTAGAGAGAGAGAGAGAAATGAGGAGGGCGCTTGGAAAGGGGAACCAGAAAGTGGAGTCTTTGGTAGATCCAAATGCAGATGAGGTTTGAATGATGTTTGCCAGGACTCAAGATTCAAGTGTCAAAATCGTGCTAACTGCTTTTGTGTAATCTCAGTCTTAATGCTCAAAATCCCTCCAGGCTTTCCCCCCCTGCCCTTGAGCAAAAGTCCTATAGAAAGAAGAAGAAATGTTTACATGGGGTTTTACTGGTGTGTGAACAGACGGAGGGAAGCTGGAGCCTTTTTGGTTTTGGGACCCGTGTTCTTTTCAAAACTAGAGGGAGGGTTCAAGTTGGAAAACTAAATATGAATTATTCCTGGGCAGAAGAACGGAGAGGATCTTGGAAAATTCAGCATTAATGTATGTCCTCTTTTGAAATGCTACCCAACTGCTTTGCCAACAGTTGTCTCTGTTGCTGTTGTAGCTCTCGAGCAGCTGCTCACAGAACTTGAAGATTTTCTGAGGATACTGGACAAGGAGAACTTGAGCAGCACTGCCGTTGTGAAGAAGAGCTTCCTCTCTGACCTTCTGCGGGTCTACACCAAGTCCAGTGGTACGGGGAAGGGAACCGAGGATGGGGTGGTGGGGTCTCGTGGGAACTGCTATGGGGTCTTGAAGCAACATTTTCTTGGAGGCTGGTGGGAGGGGGAGACTTGAAAATTAGAGGGAGAAAATGAAACACAGATTATTTTTGCAGTGACCTCTAGTTGTTTATGTAAAATTACTATATTTATGCGTCCAGATTTACAAGCAAAGGATTCCCAAGATTCCTGATACTTTCTGTTTTCCTTATTAAACCTTAAGTTTATTTAATCCACTTTGTAAGATACACAGGATGTAATGTTTGGCCAAGTTAATGTTTAAGTAGAAATTTTAACTTATGGAATTTCCTGACTATAAAAGCATTTAATTTTTCCACTTAGTATTATTTCTCGGGGTTTTTTCTGCACACTGCCTCAACCAATGTGCTCTCCCCAAAATGCACTCAGCAGAGACACTTTTTACGTCTGTCTTTATGGAAAAACTTAGCAACGTGAAAGCAGCGGGTGGGTAAAGAGTTCACTTTTCCCTTTGGTTGCAGGTGGCGATGAGGAATACATTTATATGAACAAAGTGACCACCCATAAGCAACAGGGCGACCAGGAGAACCAAGACAAAGGTAGGGAGCTGACGATTAGTGGTTACCTCATACCTAAAGGGGCAATGAAGGTGTGTGGGGTTAGAGCCTTGCTTTACTGGGACCGGTGGAGGCCCCTCTGGCAGCTCTGAGGGATGAGGCAGTTGATGGTATGGAAGGACTGCCATTTTCATTACACTCCTTTGGAAATTGTGGTCCTTGCCAACGCTGTGAGGTTATTCCTGGAAGTAGCACTTTGGAGAGCGTTATTTTGGGATAAAAATGTTGCCTTCTAAGGCTTGCAGTTCCAGTGCCTGAAATATTTAAGGAAGCCCTCATGTTTCCTTTGGCCACGGAACATGTCACTTCACCTCTTTGAGACCTTGGAAGCTTGTGTCATCTTTAGCATGTAGCTCTGCTGTAGCCCAGAGGGTCTGCGAGGCGAGTTCCCAGGCACAGCCTGCGCCCTCCCCATCTGCACGGGCAAAGCACCTTCATCTCCCAGGGGATACAAGAGCTCTGTGGTGTACAAGCCGAGAAATTAGACCTAGATAAAATATTCATTTCCAATTTAGATTTCCCAGGTTTTGAATTTGTAACATGGGAAAGAACGTAACTCTCTGAAAATGTCCTTGCTCTTTGAAGTTCATCACAGAAGCTGCTTTTGATAAATGGCCTAGAGTGAGTTATTACTGACACGCATCTCCCTAATGCACACATAGTCAGAGGCTGACCCTCCCCACAGTTTCGAGCCAAATAGATGAGACCAGAGAGGACACATCAGTGCAGCCTGCTGTTGACATGCTGGTCCTGCAAGAGTTGGGAGAGCTCCATTTCCAGAGTTGTTTGTTTTGGTTTTAGTGTTTTGTGGCGGGTTGGTTTGTTTGTTTGGTTGGTTTGGTTTTTAAACTACCTGCAGCTGAATTTAGGTTAACTTCAAATAGCCCTGAAGACAGGATGTCCTCCCAGATTACGCGTCCAGCCCCAGTGTGATCTCCAGATGAGGCCCTCTGGGTGATGCTGTAATGCTCCATAACAGGATCGCACAGCCTCCCTGTAGCTCCTGGTAGCTGAACAGTGACAGAAACATCTCTTTATATAAGTTCTCATTTGGGTGGATAAAACAAGACTTGCACTGATCCACCATGCTGAAACACGGGGGCAAATTTCAGGCAATTTATTTTTAGAGTTGGTTCTTTTATTTCAGACTTTTCCCTATCAAGGCCATGAGCCTACCCACTCAGTCGCTCCCTGTGGGACCTGGCACTTCTCTCTGTCTCTGTTTTCAACAACCTCCCTATTCCAAGTAAAACTTCTGAGTTATTTGGAAATGCTGAAGTCAGTGAGACACATGTATGGGACCTTAGCCATAGCAGCAGCTGGGTGTACGGCCCTGATCCTGCCTCTGTAACTGCATGGAGAGGTCTGTGCCTGCCTTGGCCAGAAGTGGGACCTGCAGGCTCAGATTTAGCAGATGGAGGGGTCCTAGTACCCTAGTACTGGTGCTGGGGGTTGTGATATGGATCCCCCAGTGGTAATGCAGCTCCCTTTATCCCTTTTATCCACTGCTGCTCATTGCACTTTGTTTCACCGAACGCCTTTGGTGGGATGTGGTGATTACACTTCTGTGGCTGAGGTCCATGGGACCTCTCATGCCCCATGGGATAATACATCATCTCCAAAAGTCCCCTCTCCAAACCTTAAAACATGCTATTTCTGTAAAAAGCGTATTTCACTCACTACTTCCAATTCCATCAGTAAGGATTTAATCTAAACGCGCTGCATTTTTTATGGTACAGTAATTGAACTCACTGCGGTGAGTGATGAAGACACCGTCACTCACTTAATCTCAGTTACTTGAGAAACACAGCAAGTCTCTACCTTGCGAGTGTATGGGACTCTCCAGTGAGGCAAATGCCATCTCCTTCTGGAAGTCAGCACAGAGGGATTGAGGTGCAGGTCTGATGCACCTCAGGAAGGTGAGACTGATGCATAGTGTAGGGCTCCTGGTGGTGCACACTGTGGTCCTCTTAGCCTAAATCACAGAGTCACCGAATGATATGGGGTTGGAAGGGACCTCTGGAGATCATCTAGTCCAACCCCCTGCCAAAGCAGGTGCACCTAGAGCAGGTTGCACAGGAATGTGTCCAGGTAGGTTTTGAACGTCTCCAGAGACGAAGACTCCACCACCTCTCTGGGCAGCTTGTTCCAGGGCTCTGCCACCTTCAAAGGAAGGAAGTTCCTCCTCATGTTTAGATGGAACTTCCTAGTTCCAGTTTGTGCCCGTTTCCTCTTGTCCTGAATACCAGGAGGGATTCACTTTTACAAAGGACAGAGAGCACTGATAACAGTTAGTACAGATGCAAATTTTAGAAGGCTTTTGGCTGGTTTTTCTTCTTCCTTCCTTCCCTCTTCTAAATTGTCTCCAAATTCCGGGTTTTAGAGAGACATCATTATCAGAAGACACCTGCAAAGCGTTAATGCTTGTCAAGGAAAAAATACTCATTCCCTCCCACTGCAATAAGGAAATAGTTTGTGATTTGTGGTGTTGACATGTGTAACAGGAGAAGGAAGGGGTATGTACAGCACACACTGTGTGGACTCTCCATAAAGAAAGCAAGCCATAAAGAGGGCCAAGAAGATCAGAGGTATGGAGCACCTCTCCTATGAGGACAGGCAGAGAGAGTTGGGGTTGTTCAGCTTGGAGAAGAGAAGGCTCCGTGGAGACCTCATAGGCCCTTACAGTCCCTAAAGGGGCTACAGGAGAGACGGGGAGGGATCACTCTTTATCAGGAAGCGTAGTGATAGGACAAGGGGTAGCAGCTTTGAGCTACCCTTAAAAGAGGGGAGATTTTGATTAGCTATCAGGAAGAAATTCTTTCCTGTGAGGGTGGTGAGACACTGGAACAGGTTGCCCAGGGAAGTTGTGGATGCTCCATCCCTGGAAGTGTTCTAGGCCAGGTTAGATGGGTTTTGAGCAACCTGGTCTAGTGAAAGATGTCCATGTCAGGGGGATGCAACTGGATGATCTTTAAGGTCGCTTCCAACTCTAACCATTCTATGATTCTATTATGTGCCCCATATGCTGGGCACAGCAATAGCTGCCCTCTGCAACCTCAGACAGAGAATGCTGTAGCATCTTCCAGGAGTCTTGTCAGGATGAAGGTAAAAAGTGGGGGTTCTTCCTGCACAGAGCCTGAAAACCAAAGCTCTGTCACATCCTGCTGTGCTCGTCAGCTGGAGTACATGGGTGTGCATTCATGGAGGTGGGCAGGTTTCCAGCAGGGTGAGGACTGAAGCTGTGGTCTCTGTCCCGTGCTCCAAGGTTGGTGGGAGGAGGAGGAACTGCTGGTACAGAAATCAAGCAGCATTTTCCTGGCATGGTGAGGTTCAGTGGGATGATTGCTAGGTTTGCTGGAGAGTCAAGAACAGATGGCCACCACTTGCAAAGGGTTTGGCAGTGGTTTTTGCTGCTGCAATGATTTCTCCGCTGTGGAGCTGAGCATGGGAGGTTCTGCCTGGCGCAGAAGGATGTCAGTTGGTCTCTGTTTCTCTCTGCCAAAGCAGCTTCTAAAAAGTTCCCTGTGTGGACAACTGTGAGTGTGGAGATAATCCCCTCTTGGGTAGTAGCCCAAGGGCTTTAGGAAATCTCAGACTGGTTTCTGGTCATCCCAAAAGTATCAATGGCCTCTGAGGCTGCTGTTGATGGAAGGTGTCTGCCCGAAGAGCACCATCTCTTTGGTGCTTTACAGAAAAGGCCAACCTCCAACAGCAGCCAGTAGATACGACTCTGGCAGTATAATCACAGGGTATTTTGGTAGGTGGATCTCCCCATGATCAGTCTGTCTTACAGGTTCACCTGCTTTACTCTGTTTGAACCTTACAAGACCTCTAGAGGCCCTACGTGCGGGGCACAACAGCTGCTTGGAGTTTGTGTCTGTTGATCCATGGGTCTCCATGTCCTCCTGACTTACTGAAGTTAGCCAGTGCTGATGACCAGCAGAGCTGTGTCAGGGGGAGCAGTTTGTCACAAGAGATGTGTTTTGAGCCCTTGTGCCATTGGGCCAGGAGCTGGCTGCAGCCCGGCAGGGCAGAGCTGTCATCGTGGCTTCCGAGCCCCAGACGTGAACAAAGTAATGTGGTTTCCAGCTTCTATTTTTAAAGCCCAGAAATATGCAGCGAAGTTCCTGCCCACGTTTTCTGGGTGCAGTGCTAACCACTGCTGGGCACCGCGCGATGCCGTGGCGGTTTCTGTGTGTGCCCGGGGAATGTGGCTGGAGCATCAGCAGGTGACTAAGGGAGCTAGAGCATCAGCTCCCCGCACATTTTGGACCCAATTCCCTTTTAATTTACTGGATTTGCAATATCTGGCTAACACTTTAGCCTCATTTCTCCCAAAGTGTGTGGCAAGAGACACTCTGTAAAAGGGCACTTCCCCTCTGCACGGTCCAACGTGCAGTTCTTCATTGAAAGTTCTTGATTTTTCAGCCGTGCGGTGCCTGGCTCCCACTCCTTCCTGAGCACTGCTGCATCGTGCTGTCTTGGAGGTCATGGGATTTGGGCACTTGTTTGAGGCCACCCAGGAGTTCTGTGGTGGGGGAAGAGGGACTGAACACAAGTTGTCTGAGCCTTTGCCGTACCCTCCAGCTACTGAATCACTCTGCATTCAGCCACGTGGAAAATCTGACTTTCCAGAGGCAGACACAGATCGCCTGGAGCAGTTCTGCTGCCATATGCCCTTTCACGTGTCTGGCCTGGGCTGCTTCGAGAGCAACTCTTCCTTCATTAGCGATTAAATTACTGTTCTTGGCTGCCTTTGGTAAACTGTCCTGCAGCAGCTTTTGCAGTTCCCTCTGGGAGCAGGGTGATATTAGCTCCAGTTTTCTGGAAGGGCAGCCGAGGTGGGGACAGTCCCTGATGTGTCTGCTCACGGCAGCAGGGATCAGAGCTAGCGAGTGGATTTCCAGACACGGTGTGGCATCTGCCCCTGATGCTTCTCAAGACCCTTTAAAATTTCAGCAATGGGTGTGGGCTGCACAGTTTTCCCTCTATAAGGAAAAACATGCCCCAAAACCAGAGGCCAGATCTTTTGGCTGGTCTCCCAAGTGCCACATTCCTGGCTACAGCCTGAAATGACACGGTGGCCCTGCAGCGCTGCCTGTAATTGTCACTCTGCTTCTTTCTGAAATAGCACCTCGCTGTTCCTGTGCAGCCCTGGGCAGCCAGTGCTCTGCTAGGAAATGCCATCCATATAATTGTGTTTCTGGCTTGCAGCGCTGGATCGGAGAAACTCCTTGACCAATGGAGACTCAGGACTGCATTCGTCCCCTCCTCAGAAGAGCCTCCCGGACCTGCCCCCTCCAAAGGTAGGTTTTACAAATACTTGGCTTTTTGCTGCCCGATTGCTCAGCCTGGCAGCTGAACCCCTTGCAGGCTTCACTCTCATTGCACGTAAATGGAGAGACCTCAGCCCATGTGTGTTAGTGACACAAATAGTCCTGGTAAGCTTTATTTTTAAAAAAAATAAATATTTAACTAGGGGCTCCCTATTGTGTGTGTTTCCAGCTATTGGTTTGGCGTTTACAAACGCTGCAGGTCAGTGTGTGGCTGGTGGCCCAGGCAGGGTGGCTGTGCCCCCAGGGCAGCTGGGCATCCAGAAACCCCTGTGGTTGCCAAAGCTCGTGCACAGATGGAGCAGGCAGCTCTGGGAGCTTCCCGTGTGTGTGCAGGAGCTCTGTGCAAAACGGGCTGGTCCCTGCCTGGGAAACCCACACCCATCGCGTGGCGATCCTGGCTCAGAAGAGAATTGAGGTTTTCCAAAGAAACAAAGGCGAGGTTGGATCTTAAAATGTTGCTTTGGAAATATCCCCTGAGTTGTAAAGCAGCTGTGCCCCGGTGTGAATTTACAAAAGCCAGAATTCCTTCAGCTGTGGGGTGGTGGGGCAATGCCCAGGCAGAGCCAGGATCTCCCTCACCAGCAGAGCCTTGAGCAGTTTGGCCATTAGCAGAGAAGATGAGCTTTTTTTTCACGAGAAGATGAAGCGCCCGGTGTTGTCTGTTAATTGGGTGACCGTGCTGGGCTTTATGCTGGTTGTACAGCCCCGTGGGTCTGTGAGCAGGAGTCGCCAGCCCTGTGGATTTTCCCTTAGGGCAGCTATAAATCTGGTCAGGGCCCTGTTATAAATCTAGCCGGGGTCCAGATCAACACCATCAGCTTTTGGTGGGATTTTGTCTCCATGCCAGCAAGCCAGCCTGGTTGTCCTCGAGAGACGCAGGTCATCCCTGAGACCCCGGATGTTGCTGTTCTGTAGTTGATCCGACGTGGGAATTGCTGTAGCTGGATTTTGGGATGTGAAGGGAAAGGAGAGCAGGGAGCGTGCATGGGGAGGAGGGGGAGGCGTGGAGGAGGACGGGGTGGTGCATCCATCAACTGTAGAGAAGCATCTGCTCCTTTCCCAAGAAGGAGGATGAGGGGTGAGGCCTCAGGACTTCTGCCCAGAAGGGGCTGTGTGGCTCAGCTGGAATTAGCTGGAAGAGCTGGGAAAACAGGGGGTAGGACAGGATGCAGCCAGCAAACCCTTGGACAGAGTGCAGTTGCCTGCTGGGAGCTGCTCCAGCCCCCGGGGGGGCTCTGCCCACGCAGCCAGCCAGGGATAGGGAGCTGGAGTCGCCTGGGAGCAGCCACCAGAGCAGGAATCACTGCCTGGCTTTGGTTTTCTCAAAGCTGGAGGGGGTGGTGGCCGTGGCAGGGGGGTGGGCAGGAGGATAGCAATGAAGGAATTGAAGGAATCGTTAAATGAAGGCATGACCAGGGAAGAGGCAGCCAGGTGTCCCCAAGGCATCTCTGCTTGTGCTTGCCTCAGCCCAGCTTTTGGATAGGGCAATGAGGAGATTAAATGAGGGAATTAGAAAAATACAGACTTGGATACTAGCTGAGAAGGGTACCCAAGCCATCCCATCTTCTCCCACCTGCTGGGAGCTACCTTCTCCCACTTGCTTACCACTAGAGTTTACCACTCCCTTGGGTAAAGCAATCGAGTATCTCCTCTCTGTGAGCATCTGAGTCTCAGTGAGCTGTTGGCAACAAAGCCATCTGAGCGTACATCAAGGAGCGGGGCTGGGAAGAGCTTTAATGTGGTCCCAGTAAGTGTGTGGAAGTTGCTGCTCTGGGAAAATTTGTCTTCCCTGTCCATGTTTGCTGCTTCTGGCCTGGGCAGGAGCCATGGCCACCTGGGAGGTGGAGGAGAGAGCACAAGTCTTTACACATAAACAGGGAGATTAGGAGAGGACCTCAGAATATATTTGGTTTGGCGTTGTGGAGTTTTCTGTGGTTTGGTGGTGTTAAGGCACCCTGAGGTGTTGCTCTACACTTGCCTCCTGAGGCACAGGAGAAATTTGGTGATAAACTCTGCACAGCAGATTGTCCCTGGAATCCACTGACACAACAGTCAACGGGCAACCCAACAGGGGTGGCCCAGCTGGATCCCACTTATTTCTTTGGATTTGTCCCAAAGCAACCTTCAAACAATGAGTCCTGCAGGCTGTGGCTTAGACATTGGTGACCTTTCCTCTGCGGCCGCCCTGGCAGCTTTGCTGCTTTCCACAGCCATCCACTGAGAGAGTCACATGGTGTGGATGCGGATGCCCAAGATGGATTTATTTGCATGATCCGTTGTGCTGTAACTCAACAGGCAAATGTTCTGCAGTGACCAGCCTGGGTTAGATAACACAGCATGTACTCTTTGGCTTAAACTAGAGACAAAACAATTCCACGCCTTTAGGGAAAGAGAAGAGAAAAAATAGCTTCTGGGGCAGCTGAGGTGCAGTCCCACCTAGTCCCTGTTGGCTTCCATTGTCTGTAGGAAACAAAACAGAGCAGCCCCTTCCCTGCCCCCTTCCCCGACACTTGTGGGATGGTGTCAAAAAACCCCACAGTGTTCCTTTGTGTAGGCAATTTGTTTATGGTCATAGCACAATGTGAGTTGGCTACATGCAGGAGGCCACCACAGATGGCAATTGCAGGCACATTCCCTGGCCAGAGAAGGGATTAAGTAAAGCTTTGGAGTGGCTGGTTTGTTTTTATTTCTTTAATTTAACACATTAGGACAAGTTCCCAAACCTCTAAGAGTTTGGAGGCAAGTGGTTTCCGGCAGCGTGTCCCACGTGGCTCTGGAAAGCAAGCTCAGAGTTTGCTCACAGCATCTGGCAGACCCACATAGGAAGGAGTTTTCATCCAAGACACTTGAGAAGTTTGTGAGGTTGGCAAAGTCATGGGCAGCTTGCCCATGTGGGAGCAGGAGACACGTGATTTTGGCCGGTACGGTGTGGGTACCTAGCTCCCACAGGCTCAGTGGCATTCCCCTTCATGGGGAATTCCCCTCAGCTCAGTGGCATTCCCCTTCAGTTGCTGGCTGGACCATCTTCTTCAAAGCTTCCTACTTCTGGGCAGCAGCACCTGTTGGTGGAGATACCCAGGGCAGGATGGACAGCTTTGAACCTGCATTCGATGATGCTGGTGTGACCTGCAAAGGGACTGATCCTACCTTAGGCTGCTCTGCAATGCTGGTGGCCAGCTGGCCTCTCTTCTCTGGACCACCAGGAGCAATCACCTGAACCAGCATGAAGGACCGTGAATGATCCATGACCTTCAACGTTGCTGTCTCTGCAGAGAGAGACCTGCTCTTCTGCCTGTCCTCCTGGGAGGAGCGGGACTTTAGCCCTGCAGGCACTGAGCATCCTGTCCAGGATTTGCAAGGGTCTCGTTCAGAAGACATACCTAAACATACCATTGTCAGATGACAGGGGCTGGTTTGACCTGGGCAAGGAGAGGGGACAACTCCCTGGGAAACAGGGGAGACGCTACAGTTGGATCGTGATGGGAGAAGTGAGATGCCACGTATGTTGGGAAGAGTGTAAACTGTGTGCTTGTCCTACTGTGATCTCTGGCTCCGCTGTCTCACGTTCAACAGCATGTGAATTACTTGAAAAGTAAAAAGTTTGTTTCTTAGCTTCACTTTTCTTCTTTTCTTTTTTTTTTTCCTCATGTGTTGGTGTTTCTAAAGGATCAAGGCACTGTTTTTCCTGCCAGCCCTTGCTTGTGTTTAGGGAGGGGTTTGGCAGGCACCACAGGGATTTTCCAACACTTGGAGCCTTTTCAAAGACTTATTTTCCATCAGTGTTGTTTATCCATTTCCTTCATTTTTTTCTGCTCAGAGCACAATTAAAGATTCCTGATGTAGTTCCTAAAGCAGAGTAATTGACCTGTTGGTTTGCTATCAGTCAGAGACTTGGAGGCAGGACCAGTGACTGCTCAGGCTGCACTTTTCAGCAGAAAGCCAGGATTTCACCAAATGTCCGCCCTTCTGGTTCCCTGTTCAGATGGTCAATAGCAGAGAGGATCACCCCCAGTTACAATGAGCGGGTTGGGGGGAGGTCGGTGCAACAGGCACGAGTCCCAGTTCATGATAAGGCAAATGGGTTGGAATTGTTGCTTTTGAGGAAACGCATGAGTTGATCTTTTCCCAGGGCTCTCAGCAAAATTAAAATAATATTCATGACACAGTTACACAGTAATTTCAAAGAACTCCTTTATATGTGAGCTAACTGGAAACTCTCCACAGTCTCTTTCTTCCCCATCATCTCAACCAGTTTTCATGGAAATCCTGGTGTACACATCTAAAAGGTCTCATCCACTAGGATGCACTAATAAAAAAAATGCCCCATTTTTTTCAAGTATCTGTTTTTACCTTAAATCATGCTTCTTTTATTTATTGTTCTGCAGATTCCCGAAACAAAACAACCTCCGATCCCCAAGATCGAATCCCCAGAGGGATATTACGAAGAGGCCGAGCCATATGATGTCTCTGTAAATGGTATATCACAGCTAACTCTTGGTCGGGGGGGTCATGTGGGAGATGGAGGACTTGAGGTTTATGACAAGTAGAGGAAAGCGTGGACATTTCTTACAGCCTATGTGAAAAATTTGTTTTCTGATGCTGGTCACGCTTGGTATTACAGATCTAATGCTAGTTGGAAAGAAAAGGCTACTGAATTACTCAAATTTTTAACTTTCCTATAGAAATAAGTACTACCTCTGGGTTAATATAACTTCACTGTAAAGTATTATAAACTGTTGTGGGTTCTCTTTGTCTTGATGGTTTTCTGGAAGATGGGCTGTAGTCAAACACAGGTTTCTATTAAGGAGTGAGTGGAGAAGCTGTGGTGGCTTGCATTCATGTCCTAGTGCTCTAATCGTCCCTTTGGGGCTCAGAATCCCTGGCTCTGTTGCTCTGTTAGCCCTGATAACCGTTTTTATAATTGACTGTTTATTCAGCTATGTCTCTTGTGGCAGTTTAGCCATCTGTAAACTTGATTAAAAAGCCACCCGTCGTGCGAGGGGACAGTGTGGGGGTTCCCTCTGCCTGGGTTGGCACCTCTCAGCAGTGTCCTCAGCAGTGCCACCCATGCTGTCACCCCTGGGAGGAGACTGCTGCAGGCAGGCTGGGCTCCCAGATCCTCACTTTTTAAGATGCATTTCTGCATCCTTCTGTGGGTGAACACCCTTCACCAGAGATTACCCTCCTCTGACCTGATGGCAGAGCTGATCTTGTCATCGCTTTATCATCCATTCAAGCCCAAAGGAGACAGATGACATGGCTCTGCTGCAGAGGCAGATCTCTGCTCCCCAGCCTCGGCCGCCCCGGCGTGGGGTGCAGTGGTGTACGTGATGTGGGGCAGAGCTGAGTGCGGAGAGTCAAGCAGAGAAGTGAGAGTTAAGGGGAAAAAGTTTGGATCCAAACCCTTGGCTGTTGAATCTGAGCTGTTCATGAGAGAAGCCCAGTCTTCTCCAGCCCCAGTGTGCACCATGGGGCATATTTGCAGATCTTGGTCCTGCCTGTTGGTTCAACAAGTACAAAACTGGGTTCTCCATCCCTTTTTCCCCCCTCCTATTATTAGATGGCCATAGTCCCCTGGCAGGGAGGCCCCAGCGGTGTCACTGCTTGAAGTGGCCGGGGGCTGATGCATCCGAACAGCCCTCGCTGCGTGTGTGCCCCTTGCACACCTGGGCAGCTCCTAGCTCAATGCAGGCCGCTGGTCTCACAAGGGCTTAGGAGTTACAGTGCTAAACAAAAAAAAGGGGGACACAGCAAGATCTTTGCTTCTGTGAGCCATCCCATTTTGGCTGCAGCTCCATTGCAGCAGTGAACGGGAAGGTTGTGCCCAGCTCGGGTGGGAAAAGGTGCAGGCTCATCGTGGCTGGGGTGACACGTGCCATTTGGGGAGGGGGAGAGGTCCCCTCAGCTCTGCCATGGGTAGTTAGGTGCCAGCTCGGTTTTGCCAAAATGCTCTGGGTGGTTTGGCTGAGGACAGGGCTGTGAGGAGTGGGGTGCAGGGGAGTGAAGCCTTGTTTCCAGTTGCCTGCACGGCAAGATAAATGGAATGTTGTTGGGTTTTTTTATCCTGCTGCACAGCGGGGAAGAAGGATAAGGCTCTGAGAGCCATGGGCTGTAAAGACATAGAGGGGATTAGCTGGAGAATGGCCATGGATCTGTGTGCTGGAAACCCAGGCTACGTTATCCGGGCAGCTCCGTGAACTCGTGATGTGCCGAGGGGCTGGGCTGGCGGCAGCGATAAGCGCACACCCAGCTTCAACCTCCGCTTTTCCCCCGTAACCTGCTGCTCAAAGATGGGAATGCACCCACCATGCACTGAAATCCAGGCTGGTCAGATGCCTGAGGAAGCGAGAGACCCGAGCCCTGCAAGCATGGTCAAAAAATAAGAGAGAAAAGCCCATATGATGGGAGCGCTGTGAAAAGGGGGCAGCCCGTGGTGCTGTGAAGGAGGTGCAAGCCCAGGCAGGCCCTGGCCACCGGGGTGCGTGATGCCTTCACCTCCCGTGATGGCTCAAGCCCCAGCAGGTCCCTTCTTCTAGACAAACTGCCTGGTGTGCCATCACGCCGGTGGCTTTTGCGGTGGTTGGTGTGAGACAGAAGGCGGCATCGTGTCGCTGGGAATCTCTGTGCTTTTTGGCACCCTCGGGCTTGAGGAGGTGCCTTGGGGTGAGCGGGAAGGAGGAGTGGGAAGGAAGGATGTGGAGCAGCAGGTACGTGGCAGGAGGAGGCTGTGGGGGCTTGGGAGAGGGCAAAGCGTGGCACACCATGCACAGTGCAGGTGGTGATGCTGGGAAGCTGCTGGTGCCCTGGTTTGCCTCGAGATCAGGCTCCAAATCCCATGGCACATGGGGCATATTTGCAGATCTTGGTCCTGCCTGTTGGTTCAACAAGTACAAAACTAGGTTCTCCATCCCTTTTTCCCCCCTCCTATTATCAGATGGCCATAGTACCCTGTCCCTGCCCTGCGTTAGTGATGCTCATTGCTAGCAACTTCCTTGAGACCTTGGTGCAACTGATTTTGCTAAAGGGTGGTCAGGGCATGCATAGGTTTGCCCTGGCCAAAGATGCTGAAGCCTGACACCAGTAGCCCCCCCAAGCCCTCTGTGCTCACCCCCTTCTCTCCACAAGCTGGGGAAGGAAAGGGCTGGCAGCCCAGGAACCTGCTGGTGGTGTTTCCAACAGAATTACAGCGTGAGCCTTGGAAGGCACCCGTGCGTCTCCAAACAAATGGGCGTAGTGAAATCAAACAAAAATAGGAACATCACTAAAATTAGTGGGTGCACTGCCAAGAAGGGACATCAAAGCAAGCCTCCAGATGGGCTGAGGAGATAGAGTATCCGTGCAACGTCAGAGGTGGGACTGCAAGGCACTGCAACAAACCGTGGGTGCATTAATTAAAATAAAGCGGGCGGGCGAGACCGCTGGGTCTCGGGGTCCCTCTTTCATCAGCAGGATTCTCGCTCCTCCGCTGGGGATGCCTCTGCCTTTCATTTTACAGCTCTGGCAAATGCTGCTGCTTCCCTTTCCTCCTGGGCTGAAATGTGTTAAACCGTTATCGGCTCTGTCCTCGGCTGCGTTTGCATAATTGAAGGGTGCGATAAGAAACGGAGTGAAAACACAAGGGGCGATGTGACTGCCAACTGAGCAGTAATTATTCCGGCTGAAACAGCTCATCTGCCCTGGCTGATTTTAATTACGATGACGATGATTCTGTTTTGAAAGGGAATCGCCTTGTCGGAGGGGTTGGGTTGAAAACGTTGTCCCTGTTGGAAGGGTCGCCGTGCGGTGTGTTCCCCCGCCGGCAGCGGGGACGGGGCAGCCTCACCGGCCGAGGGGGGAGCGCGGGGCTGAGCCGGACCCATGCCCTTGTTCTCTCCATTTGCTCATCTGTGGCTTTCTCTCTTTGTCTCCTTTTCTCTTTCCTTTTGACTGTGCAGGTCTTTTTGGTAGGCTTGCTGCAGCTGGACCCAGGCCAGGGTTGCAGGTTACTGAGGGCGTTATTTATGCCACAATAACGATGGGTATGGCATGCTTTCCAAACCTGAAGTGCCTTTTAAAAAAAAAAAAACCAAAACAAAACGCCAACAAAAAATCCCCAAGCTGCCACCAATCAGCAACTCAGTCTTAGTAAAGATGATTAGGTGCCTCCCCCTGGTATTGCCCATTACATGCATGGAGGGTAACCACCTCTCCCCTCTCTCTGCCAAAAAGCAGCATTTTTTGTGCCTTTCCCTGTGCTCAAGACGACAATAAAGAGAACTTCCCTAGCCTTTATTCCGCTGGTTGTGGTCACCAGTGTGGAGCTGATGTGTGGGAATGCTGGCCGTGTTGACAGGTAGCCATTCAGAGAATGTTTGGTGCTCTGTTTGGGCAAAGGGAGCTCTGGAGTATGAGATGGTTGGAGCTTCCTGCATCATGGTATTGATTTACCTCCCTGGGAGGTCGTGGAAAGACAAACAGGAGAGCAGAGGTGGATGAGATAAAGACATCCAAGAACATGGCTGTCCCGATGTCCTGGCAATGAGAGGATAAAATGGTTGTCTTAGTTGAAACTGCCAATAGGTGGAAATGGAGACCTTGTACTGAAGGGCTTGAGCTGTATGAGTTGGGATTGAGTGAACCTTACTAGTAATGACAGCGTTGTCCCAAGTCACCCAAGCAAGGTTTGTCCCAGTTTGCCAACTACACAGCCTGGAAAATGCTTTTCCATCGTGAGGCTGTAGCAGTGTCACCAGGCCAGCAACGGCTGCAGCTCTTCAAGCAGAGAAGAGCTCACCTCCTGAGGCACTTATGGTTGTGGTTGATGCACAAAAGAGCAGCCAGGGCTCCTGCTGAGAGCATGGAAGAAATGGTTTTTTTCCCCCACAGGAGAAAGGTGGCAGCCTGAGGCCTAACACCTAGGTGAGGGGCACCAGAGATACCCAAAAGGGCTGAGAGGGGCAGTTAGCGATAGCCTCATGTTGGTAAGGAGGGAGATAGAAGATGAGGTTCACTTTGCCATCCTTGCTGAGTAAGGGTCCCTAGCAGTGCAGAGGTTCAGCTTCTTGGTATTTCTAGGGATAAGGAACCTCGTCATTTTTGCTCCATCTGAGTTTCTGCTCAGGTGCCTGTGGACAAGGTCTGCACAGTGATAATGCATGGGGGGTGATGTTTTCCCATAAAAGATGGACTCTGATAGATTGAGGGGATGGAGATGGTGAGGGAGTAGTGTGCTGTCAGCACCATTCAGAGACTTTGAAAGGGAGTATTTGCTTTTTAATAAGTTTGTTTAATTGGTGCAGCTTTGATCACTTGAGGGACATTATAGAGTGAGAATTCACCAGAGGAGACTGGCAGTAAGGCTGTAGTTTTGTTACTGCATCCCAGTTCCTTTTATTCTAAGAACAAGTAAAACTAACTTAAGAAATGTTCATCAGTGAAGCTCCAAATGCTTTTTTTTCCTTTCGTGGCTGCTTTTCCTTCTCCCCCCCCCCC